GTGATATAGTTTTAATAGTGGCATAATGACAACACTTTTTTCCAGCAGGCAAGATTACATACTCAAGGTTTGCAATTTCTATTCAAATTAATGAAGATTTCGTTGGTAGTATTAAACAAAATTCTCCATTAGCGAAGCTCATTTAATGCATGAAATTAATAATTTAGGATGAAGCTTTAGCACCAATAGTGCAATGATATTACATTGCGATATTGGATCGATACCATACACTAAAGGATATTATGCATTCTAATGAAGATTTTGGTGAGAAGTGCATCATGCTAGGAAGTGATTTTCGTCAAATCCTTCAAGTCATTCCTAATGGTACTAGGGCTACTGTTGTTAATGCTTGCGTTAATTCTTCATATCTTTAGAATCATTGCACCGTCTTTTAATTTGACAAAGAATATGAGGTTGTCATTATCTTCGTCAAAGTATGACCCTAACAAGTTAAAGAAGTTTTCAAAATGGCTTTTGGATATAGATGATGGTAAATTAGGATAGCCATATGATGGAATAACAGACATTGAAATCCCTTCAAAATTATTGATTACAAAGATCTAATTAGTGCTATTGTATCTTCAACTTACTTAGATTTTTTAGAGAGCTTCTCATATTCAAATTACTTCAATGATAGAATAATTCTTGCACCAACAATCGAAAGTGTTAACCTATTGATTGATTATATGTGTTCTATGTTGCTAATTTGCAAATCAATTGAGTACCTAAGTTATGATACAACGTGCAAGTCAACCCATGACAATGATACCTTTGATGATTTGCACGTAATCAAATCCTTGAACACAATTAATAATTATGACTTACCTCCACACGAACTTACTATAAAGGTAGGAGCACCAATCTTATTGTTAAGAAACATTGATCAATCATCAAGTCTTTACAATGGAACAAGATTGCGTGTAACTTATCTTTATAAAACAATAATTGAAGCGGTAACATTAAATGGATTAAAGTCAAATCTCAATGTTCTAATACAGTGAATGGATATAAATCTCTTAAAAAGTAGGTGGCCTTTTTGTGTGAAAGAGAAGACAATTTTCAATTACACTTTCTTTTGATATGACAATTAAAAAGAGTCAACGCTAATCATTGCACCATGTTGAGCTATTAATATAACATCCCAAATTTTCAATCATGTATTAATTACTTGTTATAAAATGAATTAGTGATTTAAGGTAAGATTAAGATTATGGATAGTGAAGTATTATTTTGACTCGTTGGGATGCTATATAAGCATATACGAGTAGAAGAATGAGGTCCCATGGTAGAGTGTGTGAGTGCAGTAAGGATTTTCCTCACTATACCATGCGTTGCTGTAAAGGATGTATGCGTCGCGGTGCATGGTGTAAAACTTTGATAAGTAGCTTTGTGGAACAGCTCATGAAATAGAAGGAGAAACAAAGTTAGAGGGGTTAGACATAGAGAAGAGTAGAGACTTCTGTTAGGGCAAGTAATATCGGGAGCAAGAATGACATTTTTAACCTGTTACTTATTAGGTAAGTCTCATATTGCCTTAATCTCCAATTTTACCCTATTCTTTCTTAGTTTAAATTATTAAGAAATTGAATTTGAAAGTTTTAAGAAGATGATTTCTTACCCTATAGTAATAGAAAGGTCCTCTAAGATTAAATCGGTACTTTATGACTAGTTTGAGTTGGAATGTAAAGCTTTGAAACTGTAGGCACAATTTGCCCTAATCTAGAGAGAGAGTAGTAAGAGAAAATTTATTTTTGAGAAAGTTAATGTATGAGGAGAGTGGTAATTGGTTATGATATGTGTGAACAAATGTAAATTGTGGAAGTGATAGTAATTTAATGTTTAGTTGTGGCAAATGGCACTTTTTGTCAATAGAGTTATTGACTTTAGGTCTGCCTAAATTGTGTAGATTCTAGTGTGTAATGCGTAAATTATGAAAGAAGCTTGAATAAGGTTGTGAAACACGGGTAACCCTTTCTATTAAACAGAAGGGTTGAGGTAACCACATAGTTTATTATGTTTATTAACTATTATAATTGTGTTGAAGTAATTGTAAAATGGTGTTTATTAGTTTTTATGCATGATTGTGTTTCATAAAATGGTTTTTAGCATGAACTGGATTTGTAACAATGAAGAATACTGATTATAGATTTTGATTTATGTAAATATATGTATGTGTATGTGTGTATATATATATATATATATGTAAATGTAAGTATGCGAATATGGAAAAGTAGTGAAATTGCATGAAAAGCATGATCATAAGGGGTAGGAGTTCACCCAGGGTATGTGTGGGTGGATATATGAGTGAACAAATTCATATAGTTAAACTGGCATTATGGGACATTCGGTGCAACATATTATAGGCTGATACAATGAGTAATTCGGTACAACATATTATGAGATTGTTACCATGGGATATCTGGACAGTCTACCAACCCCTTAGTGCCCGTTAGGGTGCGTTAAGAGTTAACGACGCATCTATCACAAGTGTGTGAAATGAGAAAAATCATAGTCTATAGGTGGGATAAATTACCTTTAACTGGGTGTTTCTATCATCGAAAGTGTGCTCGGGTCAATGAGTGATTGATCCAATCAGAGCCTATAGTTTCGTGTCGAGGAGCATTGGAGGTTTAATGGCTAAATGATCATGCTAGTGTGTATTTATGTGGAAATACTTTGAAAAGAAGAAATTTCTTTATACTTTGATATATATATATATATATATATATATTATATTACTCTAGTTTTATTATTTTGACATGGTTATTTGTGATAATAAATATTAAATGAACTATATTGATTATTGAGATTTTTATCTCACCCGTAGTTATTACATTTTTTAGGTTCTGATAATGGTGGTGCAAAGGGAAAAGACATAAGCTGAGTTGACACCTTTCACCAAAGCCTTTTTGTAAGAATTGGTGTAATGAAATACATGTGCATAATGTTGTGACTATTATGTTTTAGAGGTTTTGTTTCCCCAGCCCTTTGTATGTGTGTGAATAATAAAATAATAAAGTAGGCTAGTGGATGAATGTGAATATTTATAGATATGTGGTATGCTCAAAGTGTGTGTGAAAATTTGGCCTCGGTAGTGAGTTAAATGAAAAATGAAAATTTGCCTAAGTTATGTGTTATGTGCAGTTTACAGGTCAAATGTGTGTATATGTGTTATATATTGCTAGTTTGATTAGTCAATTAGGTATATATTGTCCATTTGAAAGTGGTCAAGGCTATAAATGCGGCTAATGACATACAATTTCAATTGATAACGCTCAAGTGGTAAATTTTAATTTGAAATGGTCAAAATGCACTTGAGTGTTCAATTTTCAAATGAAATATCAAATTTAAATAAAACCAGTGTCATTAGTTAGATTATGAGACAAGCTTTGTGTGGACACTTGAACCACCCCAATCGGACATTGGATATGAAAACGACGTACATCCGAAGTTCGTACCAAAAATTGCTATGTTATAGCATATTCAGGTGTGTGCACCGCGGTGCATGTATTCACATGTCGCGGCACACATCACACAGCTGGCAGTTGTGATTTTTGTGCCACATGCCGCAATGCATTGCCCAAATTTTGAGTGAATTATGCTGTTTTGAGCTGCGAGTTGATGTGCATATGCTTTGTGCTTCTGCTGTGTACTATTCTAAATAATGTATGGTTTTTATAAAGAGATTTTAAAAAGTTTTGTTTTTGGATCTTGCATTTTTCAAAGTAAATTATTTTGATTAACAATTATATGAAAGTTTGTATGGTAATATCAATGAATGCATTACAATTAACATGTAACTATTCATTGCTTTTTGCTCTTAACGTAGCCTTGTATCACTTTTTTTTTTTTTTCATTTTTTCCATGCATGTGGTAAAACGAAATTGAGCTTTTAGGAATTAATTATCTTTTTGGTTTTTGGGTTGATTACCAAAACTGAACTTCTTATGATCACCTTTTAAAAAATGAGGTGAGTACCTACTATATATAATAGCTAAGCTATAAATGAGTGTAGTATTCTCTTCTAGTGCATCGTATGGAAAGGTAAATGCTAGTTTTGATTATATATATATATATATATATAAAGAAAACATTATAATTACCTTAAACATTAACTCATAATACCATTGATCATATCCTTTATGTATGTCAATGTGCACATTCTATCACGAAGTGCACATTCCTTAAATGAAGGGAGAAGGAAATCACAATTTTCTCGCCTTTCTGGCTCAGTATTAAACACTCCTTCCCCAAATACATGACGATCAAGAAGATTATAAAGAGATGAGAAAGTAGGATTTGGATTCTTTGAAGCTCAGCCTCTATAATAATTTGTGAAATTATTTGTAAAGTACTAGTCCTCTATATTCACTTTTTTTGGGAAAAAAAAATTGTATAGAAGCTAGTATACTTTGTTTTCAACTTTATTTGCATAATCATTGTTTTTTTCATAGTCGTAATGAAAAGACAATCCATAAGGGCAGAGTATGTAACTTTTGGAACTCCACATACCGGTCTGTGGAGTGTAGTGGACAGCTAGTTAATATATGATCCAATTTTTCATGTTAATCTATAACTTTAATTAGAAGGTGATTCCTCAAGTGTTCCTTAACAATTAGAGCCAAGCTTAGACAGAATTAAATAAATAATTTATTTAATAATCTTTCCCACTTCCCATCCTCCAATGCACTCAAAAGTGTAAGAAATTTAAAAAAATAATTTATCTCATTTATTAATTTAATCTCTGAAATTTAATATTTATCAATCAAACCCTTAAAAATTGACATCCTTAAGTCAATGTTACATCACTTGTATGTCTAGAATTATATATCTTCAAATTATAAGAATTTATTGAGCATGGTTAATAAATTTTAGGGGCTTAATTAATAAAATTGAATTTCATGGATTGAACCAATAACTGAGGCAAATTTAAGGGTAAAAAATTTCATTATTCCGTTCAAATTCATTTAAAGCATGAACTTCCATATGCACTACTTCTCACAGGGCAAAGAATAATTTTCTTTCTGGAACCCACAGCGACAGTACAAAGAGAACTGTTAATCCATTGTGGACTTGCAAAAATGTTTGAGCTTACACGTATTGGGCTCCAGAGCCCATATTGACAACCCATTAACCATAGTTGACCATGTACTGAATATGGGTGCATGTGGGGTGAATGGTAATTTTCTTTTTGGACAAAGATAAGGGAACTATTTCCTTCTTTTTTCTAGTATCAGCCTGGGATAGAACCCCAATAGAAAAATACAAAATATGAAAAAGGAGTGAGAAAATTGCAGTGAACAAAATATAAAGCCCTCCACTTTAAGCAACAAAATGACACTAAAATTAAGATGAGAAAGAAGTCAAGAACACCTAAATAATCAATACCCTTTCGTTTCTATTACTTTTAATTTGTTTTTTATATAAATAAAATTATATTTTTAATAGAAATTTATTGTAAACTTTTTAAATTATTCTTTATAATTTTATCATTCATAATTATAAGAAACAATTAATGAAAGATTGATTAACACCATTAACAAACGATATTATAATCAAATTCCTTTAATTTCAGGTACAATTAATATAGTTAATTAATTTTTTTAAACTGTGTGATATAATTATGTGTTGCAAAAGCGAAGTTATATAACGAAACACAAATCCTGCGAAGAAGGCAGTCCAAGAAAAAGAAGTTATATATAAAGCAATGTTACTATGTTTGATAGACAATATATAAATGAGCAGTGTAGTAATATTGATTCTAGCACGCAATAAATATCTCTCTTCTTTAATATTCCATCATTTTGCCCCAACCGCGACGAGAAAAACGAGAGAATTTGTAGATGAAAATAACAATGGAAGACAGTTAAGAAAAATCTTGGTTTAACTTACAGATTTCTTTAACAATCTATGATTAATGTGCCGGACCTATCTTATTTTCTGTCTGGTGATTTTGCTGACTTTCATTCCAAGTTTAGAAGATAGTCATGGACAATTCTCCTAATTCATCAGGAAATTAGCAAAAGCTCAATAAAGGGAACAAGCAATTATAAGAGAGCAAGAGAGAAAGAGTTAATACCGATCAAGCAATGGATGACAAGAAAGTTACTTGCATGAGGGTCTCTTCCGTTTCATCTTGGGAACAAATTTGAGATGAAACAGAAGCTCCATGAAACAGAGTTGGTGATGAAGAAGGGATTTCAAGTGATATTAATTGTCATGAAAAGAGCGTCCAGTTCCTCAATATCATGACATGAGTTGGTATGAGAATCATAATAAAGTTTCCGTTTCTTCAACTGAAGAAGTGGTGGTTGTTCATCAACATCTCGAGGCCTCTTCTTATTCTTCTCCAATTCCATTTGCAGAGAGAATTTCTGATAATCAGAGACATATAATGGGCACACCCCACATTCTTTGATACCAACTACCTCGTTGATATTAGCAACCTCGTACCCAAAACGAGGTTCTACACTGAATTCAAAGCAAAGTTTTATGTCAGTGACCAACTCTTGATTATTTCCTCTTATTCTTTCAATCACCTTCAATATCTCATCCGAAGCAAACTCATTCTTCCATATGTAAACATGATCAGAATTCATATTTGGAAGAAACAGATTGTTGTACGGTAAATCTGACACCTTAGAATCTCCCATGTGGCACGCACATTTCAATGCAACATAACATGTCTTTTCTGAGTGAAACTGAAGAACGACACACAGAGAAAAACCCAACAAGTCTGAATTTTGAAGGACTTCAATAATCATGGAGCCCTTTGCTGTCCGATATTTGAACCACTCAGGTACTGTTCGTCCAGGAAAGCAAATCAAACTACGAGCACCTTTAGCCTTTCTTTCTTGCTGAAATTCGCAAGCAGCTCTATTGATCACAGAATAGGCATCTTCTATGATACTGTGAAGTGATTGTTCATTCAGTTTCACGCAATTCATAAATGAGAAGTATTTTTCACTCACGTTCAGTGGCCTAAAAGTTGACACTATCTCTAATGACATGCAGTTATAAGCATCTAAGGTTGTAATGGATGGTGGAAGTTTTGGTAAAGAACGAAGCTTCCTGCAATTCGATATGAACAGACATTCCAATCTTAAAAGATGTTCAGTGTTATTGGGGAGTTCAGTTATGTGACTACAGTCTGTCAAATACACTACAGTTAGAGCCAACATGCCACCAAATAGCCTATATAGCATCGAATTATCAAGCACTTCACAATTAGGAAGCCTGACCATTGTCAATGTTCTCAAGCATGATAACTGTTCTGGAATTTTCTTCAGTCTTAAGCCACCCAGATCCAGCACTTCCAGATTACTTGAATGCCTTATGGATGAGTGCAAATTTTCGATTCCAGTGTGGCATAAATTCAACTCCCTTATTTTTTCCGATGACACTGAAAATTCCTTGAGACTTGTGCATTCTTCCACCCGAATGTATTGTAGAGATTTTAAATGAAACTTAGTTTTTAGACTCTTGAGTTTCTTGCACCCACTTAACTCCAATTCAACAAGTGAGTGAAGAGACAAAATAGAAGAATGAACGTAATGCAAACTCTCACAATCAACAAGAGATACTACCTTAAGACTTGAGGCTTTAGAGAAATTTGGCAGCTCCTTCAATTGTTTGCATCCGTTAAGGTTTATCTCTTTTAAGTTCACAAGATCCTATAACAACATAGAAAAATCAAATAAGAACCATAAACTTTCAAATGCATGAAAAGCATAAACACAAAAAAAAAATGTTTATATATACCTGCACTCCATTCCAAAGCTTTTTAACATGGCTATTGGGCATGTGAAGCTCAACGAGATTTTCAGGACAAAAAGTTGGTGGCAGAGATTTAAGTGGATATCCATACCACTCTAGATACTTTATTTTGTTAGGAAAGAACTTGAGACCTTTTGGTAAATACACATGACTTGAGTGATGGTTTAAAGCAGAGAAAAATTTGAGAAATCGCATATTAGGCATCCTTTTGAAAGTGCGAGCACTTAAATGTATATCTTTGATTCGAGACACATCTAACATTATGCCTTCAACTTTATCGGTGCCCTAAAAAGAAAAACAAAGAATGATAGTAAGTAAAGCATATCATAATAGATGCATTTTAAGGTAAAATTATATATTGGGATCCAAGCATGTTTGTCTTAATTACCTTGTCATTAGCCAAGACATCATAGACTTCTTCACAATCCCATAATCGACTCCGTCGTTCAGGTTCATTGATAGATTCTTCACGAACAATTTCCCAACCCATTTCCTGTATCAAATCATGCATTTCTAAAGGCATGTGATCATTTGCAATTATGAGAGCCTTATCATGAAGTGTTCTTATGCCAATAGCTCCATAGAAGTCATAGCCATCCAATAGGCTAATCACATGTTCTTTCAACATTCCCTTCAAAAAGCATGCAATCTCCAGAAATATGTTCTTCTCTTCATGATTTAATCCATCATAACTCAATCTTAACACCTTCTGAATATCTTCATGGGGAATCTTTACAAGTTTTCTTAATGCACTCTTCCATTCAATTTTACTTTTGCCATGAAGAAATGAACCCAAAACTTTTAAAGCTAATGGAATTCCTTTTGCATAAACAACTGCCTTTTCTGATAACTCCTTATATCCTGTTATAGGCAGATTTTGGTTGAAGGCATTCAAGCTTAAAAGCGCAAGGGATTCTTGGAACTTCAATTCTTTGACCTTATATATCACATCAACTCCTTTGCTAAGCACATGCTTGTCCCTTGATGTGATGACAATTTTACTTTCTAGACTAAAGCAATGAGGTTCCCCAACCAAGTACTCTAATTGCTCTAAAGTACTAACAGCATCAAGAACAATGAAAACCTTTTTACGACTAACCCTAGACTCAAGAAAAGAGGTTAAAGTTCCAGTAAAGAGATCTTCTTCTGGTAGCAGACAGGAGAGAAGTTTATAGCGTAAATCCTCAAGTCCACTATCATGCTTTGCAGAATTTTCCCTTACATTTGCCAAGAAGCAACAACCTTCATAATGGGGAGAGTGTTTGACAAATGTAGCTTTGGCAAGAGTTGTTTTACCAATGCCACCCATGCCCCAAATTCCAATGGTTTGAAACTCTCTCAATAGTAACTCAATCTTTGCATAGTTGTAATTAATACCTACAAGGCCTTTCAAATCAGTAAGTGGGTACTTATGATTCAATTTTTGCAGTATATCTTTGACAATCTGTTGAATGAGTTCAGATTCAATCCTAACAGGTGAAAAAAAAAAAGGCAAGTCTGAATTAATTGAGGAAATATTTGATTTGTTGAAATAGCAAATTAAGGGAGGATAAAACAGAGTAAATATACATACTACATGTAAAGATACATCTGAAATTGACCTTTTAAGCCACAGTCACTCAGTCATCTAGCAAATGATGAAAATGAATTTATTACCTGAATGTATGAGAATCATAACCAGCTAAGTTTGCAGCTTCATTGAGAGCATGCTTCCACTTTTGAATCTCGTGTAGGTTGACCTTCAGGTCCCTCTCATGTTTCTCTAATGCTTGCTCGTAGAGGCCAGTCTGATTTCGTACATGAGATGGCTCAACTTTATAAAATACTGGAATAACAATATGTTCTTGAACCCTTTTGCAATGAAGTATGTGGGCAAGTTCATCCAAGCACCATCTTGAAGAAGCATAATTTTCTGAGAATACCACCACAGATAGATAGGAATTCTCGATTGCTTGCATAAGTGCTGCTGAGATCTCATCTCCTCTTGGGAGTTCATAGTCTATGTATGCTTTTATTTGCTTTCTGCAGAATGCTTCATAAAGATGGCTTGTGAAGTTGTTGCGAGTGTCTTCACCCCTAAAGCTGATAAAAACATCATACTTCTTCAAGGAAAATTTATCAGAGACACAGGATGAAGCAGTATCAGTTGCCATGTCTCAGTGAGCTGGAGAATACTTGTATAGTGTGAAGTGCAGAAGAAAAGCAGAGATGGAAGGATAGAAGGGAGGTTAGAAGCTTCATTTATATACACACAAGTGGAAGGAGGAGCCCATGCGATTCTGTTTTGATAAATTTTTTAAATTCCATGATGGAGGGAATCAATTCTTTATTTAATAGTGCCACTTTTTGACTCTTATCAGGAAGTGAGGCTATAAATTATAGGACATTGAATAAATAAATGAAGCAGCCTTCTTGTAGCTAGCAAACAAATCAACGATATAATAATAAAATACTAAGATCCTTTTTGTTGTTATTCACTTTGTTCTCTTATTCGTGCAAATGAATTAAGGTTGAGCCTCGCGTGCTTCAAACTTTTGGCATATTATAAAGGCTTAAAATTGACATCAGCCTTCTCAATGTAAGTTTCTTCTCTGTTAGTGCGTATTCCACCAAATCTACAAGCATTAACAACAATTTAAGAGCTTCGGGCGTTGAAATCAAACTTCATCCCACTCATCCTATTTTAAATTTAAACTTTTAAATATTTAAAAGATAAAGTTTAGGTGCAAGTCTTGAAATTTGTTTGTTATGAAGCTACAATTAAAAAATCTGACAAAGAGATGTAGTTTATAATAAATAACATATGAATCTCTTAAGAGTTCTTTTTACATGTAATATCTTTTAAAGAATGTAACAAGTTAATAAGAAACACTTGACTGTTTGATATGCCATACGGAATAACGGAATAAAATAGGAAAAACTAGAAAGAGAAAGTGATTTTATAGACCAACAATAAAAAAAAAATTATCCCGTTAGGTGGGATTAGCTACATAAATCACATTATGTCATTATACTATATTATTTATTAAATTTTGAAGAATGTTGTTGATTAAAAGATTTCGATCAACAACAGAAAGAGAAAGTGATTTTCATTTTAAGTAGTTTGAAAATATCTTATGTCATTAAAATGAAAAAATAATATAAAAATGATAACTAGAATCAAATTGTTGTATGATGAGAATATGTATGTATGTATATATATTATTGTTGGCCCAATTTTAGGTAAAAGGGTCAAGTGTCTCGACACTTTGGGTGTGAGTGTGCCAGCCATGTTAGAAAAGCATGCCTTCAAAAGAGTAAATTATGATCAAGTGATTGAATGGATTCTCAAGGTTATTTATCATAATTTTTTTGAAGAGTCAAGTGACCAGTGAGAATAATAATGGGTGTGCCATGAATGAGCATAAAGCCCAATAAGATTGTGAAATTAGCTTTGGACACTAAGTTTGTATAAGAAAAGTAAATCACATTGGGTGAATTGGAGATAACACAAGGTTAGTAGTAGGATATTTGTGCTAGGCAAGTTTGATATAAATTTGATAGTGTCAAGAGACCTTGAGTTATGTGCTCATTGCCTCTTTATAGCAAATGGCAACGACGAGCTCCCTTTCAAATTTAAACTTGGAGCTAGTAGGAACTGTTATGTCTTTAAATCCTTGAGGAAGCTCCATCATGCAAAGCAATGGGCGTGAGTGTGCTGAGAATCTTGAAGAGGGGATGATGTGGACATAACTTCATCATGCTTTTCCTCAAAACATACCGTCCCACTTATTCGTGCAAGACTAAACAGTTAATGGGCAGAACATTTTTCTTTTCTGATTTGGGCTTTGGATACCACCGTAATTGGGCCTAGTGCTCTAGTATAAGTTCAAACAATTATATATCTCCCTTTTTTTTTTTATCAAATTAAAATAGAAAGCTTTGCTAATAATAGTAAGTTAATAACCGTAAGATACTTATGTCCACAACATCTTCAACTTGAAATACTCTTTTTATCAAACGAAAACATGCACCCTGAGAATTTATGTACTGAAGCTGCTTCAAATTATCAATTATTCTATCAAATAATCAATAAAACCACCCAACTACACAAGATTATGTCACAAAGCATTTAAATCCCCAGAAAAAGGGAGGAGGGGGGAAGCATCTTTGGCACGCATTTATGGCTTTCAATTCAAGGGTTGTAATGGATGGCGGTCGTTCTGGGAAAGAAAGGCATTCCAATCCTAAAAGAAGTTCAGTGTTGTTGTTGGGGAGTTCAGTTATGTTGCAACAGTTATCCAAACATACTTCTCTTAGAGACAACATGCCATCAAATAAGATATGTAGCTTCCAATCATCAGTGACTTCACAATTACAAAGCCAACGCTTCGTCAAAAGCAAGTTACTTGGTTTGGAAGGTCCGCAAGTCTTGAGTCATTGAGATCAAGCAAGCACTTCCAATTTACTCAAAAACCCAATGGATGAGCGCAAGATTTTGATTCCTGTTTTAGATAGGTCCACCTCTGTCATTTCTTCCAATGACACTGAAAATTCCTTGAGATTCAAGCAATATCTCAAATCAATGTATCATAGAGATTCTAAATAAAACTCACCTTTTAGACTCTTAAGCTTCTTGCACCCATGTAAGTACAACGTAACAAGTGAGTGAAGAGACAAAAATTAACGAATGAAGGTAACACAGACTTTCAATGTTAGTAAGTTGTGTTACGTTGAGATCCAAGCATTTAAAAAGATTCGGAAACTCCTGTAGTTGTTTGGAACCACTAAGGTCTATCTCATGTAAGCTCACAAAGCCTTATAACAATAGAGATTGTAGACAGCTCAAATGAGATCATCAAGAAGTTTCTACTGAATGAAAAACATGAACACCAATAAGTTTATACATACATGCACCCCGTTCCAAAGCTTAATAGATGGCTATTGGGCATGTAGAGCTTAAACAGTTTTTTAGGAAGAAAGTAGATGGCAGAGATTTAAGTGGGAATCCATGCCATTCTTGATACCTTATTTTACAAGGAAGAAATTTAAGACCTTTTGGAAGGTGCACATGACTTGAGTCACGGTTGAAAGCAAAATAAAATTTGAGAAATCTTATATTAGGCATCTTTCAGAAATATCAACTTCCAAATGTTGCGCTCTAATTTGAGAAACATCCAACTTTATGCCTTCAACTTTTTTTTTTTTTATCCCTCAAAAGGCACAAAAACAAGGACCATGATAAGCAAATCATATCATATTAAAATTATATTATTATATAGGATAGAAAAGCAAATACAAATTTCTTACCATATTATTAGCTAAAACATCATAAAGTTCTTCAAAATGGCAATACCTACTCCGTCTTTCTGGTTCATTAATAGATTCTTCATGAATAGTTTGCAAATCCATGTCCTGTTTCAAGTCATGAATTTCTGCATACATATGGTCATCTACATTTATGAGAGCCTTGCCATGAAGGGTTATCATACCAATAGCTCCATTGAAGCCATAGCTATATAATAACTCAATCTTAACACTCTTTGAATGTTTTCATGGGGAGTCCTGTCAAGTTTTCTCAATGCACCATTCCATTCAGCTTCACTTTTGCCATGGAAATATGAACCCACAACTTTTAAAGCGAATGGAACTCCTTTTGCTTAAACAACTGCCCTTTTTGTTGAAGGCATTCAAGCTGAAAAGTTTAAGAGATTAATGGAACCCCAATTCTTTAACCTTCTACATTACATCAACTCCTTTGCTAAGCACATGCTTGTCCCTGGTCATGATGAGAATTCAACTTCCTGGACCAAAGCCATAGAGTTCTCTGACCAAATATTCTAATTGTTCCCAAGTACTAATATAATCAAGAACAACAAAAACTTCCAAACAACTAAGCCTTGTCTCAACAAAAGTGCTTAAAGTATCAATAAAGAGATCTTCCTTTAATGAACATGAGATTGCATACATGAGATGGTTCAACTTTATAGAAGACAGGAATAACAATCTGGCCATGAGCCCTTTTGCAATGAAGTATACGTGTGAGTTCATCAAAGCACCATCTTGAAGAAGCATAATCTCAGAGGATACGACCTTGGATACATAGGAATCTTCGATTGCTTGCAGAAGTGCTGGTGAGATCTCATCTCCTTTTGGGAGTTAGTAGTCACTCTATATAGGTTTTGATGTGTTTTCTGCAAAAAGCATTGTAAAGATAGCTAGTGAAGTGCCTCACACCTAAAGCTGATAAAAACATCATACTTCTTGGGGAGGGATTGAGCAGAGGAAGAGGGTGAAGCAGCTTCAAGGGCCATATTATTTGATCGAGAAGCAAGGAGATAACTGTATGTGTGTATTGAGAAGTGTGAAAACCAGAGGTGGAAGTGTACAAATGAGTATTAGAAGCTGCACAGAAGTGGAAGAAGAAGGAGCTCACGCGGTCCTTCGTGTAATATTTGATGGATTCTATCTTACATTAACACTCCGAGGGCGTCAAAGTTTCCAAATTGGCTTGGGAGTCTCTCGGCCACAAAAAAGAATGACTTGGAAGTAAAAGAAGATGGGTTACACAGTACAAACTTGAGGCTAAGTAGGTAACCTTATCGCTTGTCGAACATGTGGTTCGATGGTGAAAGTGATTTGCTTTCCCCTTCCAAACCACGAGTTCGAATTGGCACTCTCTCTCTCACACACAAAGCTAACCTTATCGTCTCTCCCAGGTCTCCCTACTATTGTCTCCCTCTCAATGCTATATGTTCCTGTTTCAGTATACGGATCATGAAAAGACAATACGGGAAAAATAAAAGAAAATTATATTGAAAACTGAGCCGAGGAGATGCTTGTGGGCACGATCACTCCCACCGTTTCTCACTCTGTTGTTCTTTCTTGTAGATTTTGGTACCGATCAGGTCCGATAGACTTAAACTTAGTGCGCCTCAACAAACACACTCAGTCTGTGACGAACACATCATCCAATTTTGCGAGTATCAGATGGAAAAGAAAGGCCAACGGTAACCGATCGGCAATGGAAACTTTCACAACACGTGCATTAGCTGAACCACTAAAGAACGCTGACGAGCTCATCGATTCCGTCGAGACTTTTATCTTCGACTGTGACGGTACAGTACATTCTCTTCCAGCCTTGTCTTTGGTTGCCTTTGGAACCATTATCAGCCCCATTATACTTACCTGGCTGTACAACTTCATCTTTTCTAATGTCTAAATTCTAGTCGGATTAAATCCCTCCGTCTCCTTCCCTATAATCCTGACGGCATCTACCCGGTGAATTTTGTGTTGATGCAATCATCCCTCCTTATCACACGTTCCTTTTTAACTTAATTCGCAGGAGTTATATGGAAAGGTGATAAATTAATAGAAGGAGTCCCAGAAACTCTTGACCTGCTTCGGTCAAAGGTTTGTTACTACTGTGGCTAATTACCTGCATTTGTAAATTGTAAACATTCGATATTCTTTGATCCTTTGATTTTATTTTTTTTAAATTTGAAATTTCAAACTTGGGTATTTACAACTGTTGATAAACTTCCTTAGGGCAAAAGATTAGTTTTCGTTACTAACAACTCTACTAAGTCAAGGAAACAATACGGGAAGAAGTTTGAGACTCTTGGCCTGAATGTTAATGAGGTCAGTCCACGCTCATAGTTTTCGCTCTTCACATTCTTGATTGGCACAAAGATCAACAACTATAACCTTTAATTCCTGAATCGTTTCAGGAGGAAATTTTTGCCTCATCTTTTGCAGCTGCCGCATATTTGAAATCCATTAATTTCCCGAAAGATAAAAAGGTACGATCTATGGTTTGGGTTTCCAGTCGACCTGAAACTAATATTCTATTTAATTGCTATTCCGCGGGCTAGATGCTCATCTCACCTAAAAAGCAGATTCAGTTTAAAATGGGAACTTTCGGGTATTTGACGTTCATGAATGCTGATATTAGCTAGTTATTTATCAAGCTTAACGATGACACACCATGCAGGAGAAAAAGGAACTTAAATTCTCTGTAGGCCCATTGTATTTATACGCGTTTTAAGTCTTGAACGCAACTTCTATTACTTGATATCTGTGTGCCTGTAAGTATTCTTTGGCCCGATGCGTGTTGTTGAATTCAAAGGACTAATCGTTGAGTTTGATTTAGGTTTATGTCATTGGAGAAGATGGCATCTTGAAGGAGCTTGAGCTTGCTGGGTATCAGTACCTTGGTGGGCCAGTATGTTTTTAGTTCTGTCACACAAAAGCTTTACTGATTGTTTCTTTTTATGCTTTCAAATTTGTGTGATCACTTGGTTCTATTATGCTTTACATGCAAAAGCCTTACTTGTTTTTGTTTTTGTTACCATTACTGCTACTTAAAATCAAGTTGGACTGATATGCACGGCATATTATAGCTTCACTGTCTGATGCGTGGGCAGAGAAGTTTCCATTGGAGTTTTAAGGTTTAAGAATTGAAGGTTACTTTACAATCTAATAAAATGTGAGTGCATTAAGAATTAGGACCTTTTTAATGTTAATGGTAAATTTAAGGAAAAACAAGCTAATGCAAAATACGGATGAAAACATAGTTCAAGTTTTTAACTATAAAAAAGATGCGTTAGTTTCATCTACAATTTTATGGCTATGCTTGATGTCTAGAGTTAAATTTCCCAAGGGTTAAGGATAGTATGTGCAAATCTCTTGTAGTCCAGATACGTGTATTCAGGATTTGATAGTTACGATGTTGATAGTTATGTCATTTGCGTTACATACATTAAATATGGAGTTGTTATATGAGATACGCTCTCATCCTATACATGTGTTGTTCTTTTAGGAAGATGGTGTGAAAAAGATAGAGCTGAAGCCAGGATTTTTGATGGAACATGATGAGGACGTAAGATACTAAGTTCTTGCCTTGTTTCTTTCTAGTAAGTGTTCCTTTTTTCCGGTCCACATCTAAGAAGTGTCTTCATTATTAGGTTGGAGCTGTTGTTGTTGGATTTGATCGCTACTTCAACTACTATAAAATCCAGTAAGATATCAAATACTAACACTCGCACATATGACATGATAAGTTCATTTATGCACTCAAATTAGAGATTAACTAATGCGTTTGATTGAGGAAAATAGGCATCATGTTGGCAGTTATATCCTTTTATAAGTAAGTCCATTTCCATAGAAAGGACTATAGTGAATAGGTTGCTTTTCCTTGTAAAATGGAGGCATTTTTTGTATTTGTACTGGTTATATATGCACAAGAACTTTTTTCTCTGCGAACAAAATGTAGTTTTGTAACAATATGTGATACAAGACATTTGTGCTAGACTTAGGAAGCACCCACAATTTTGTGAATGCAAGCTGGTTGAGATTGAAATTGAAGACTTGCCTGGTTGAAAGAGGAGTCGAAATAACCAATGGAGCTCAATTCAAGGTGGAGGTTGAGTGTAGGCAGTTGGAATGGAATATGAATGGCCAATGTTTTTGAGCTAATTCTTAGATGATGTACTTAGGGTTGTTTGATATGATCCTAGGGCTGCAATGGTTGCGAACATTAGGATCGATAACCTGGGATTTGAAGAACTAGCTGATGAGTTTCTCTCAAGAAGGTAAAGACTATGAATTCCAAGGCATGGGGTATCCTTTAACTTTCTTAGAAGACAAGGAGGTTGGAGTGATGGTCTGTTTCACAAGAGATGTCTTGGTTGGCAGAATTAGTGATCATGATGGAAGGGAAGAAATGTTGGCATGTCACTTGTGAGCAAATAGCAGGGTTGGAGACTTTTATGCAAGAATATGAAAATGTTTTTGGGGAGTCAACTGCCTTGCCACCGCCAATGGATTCTGACTATCAAATTCCTCTCATATAGGAGGCCCTTAAGAATCAAACCCTATAGTTATGTCCTTGATCAGAAGAATGCCATGGAGCAATTAATGCAGTTTATGCTGACTAATGGGGATATGGTTTGTCACAAGTTGCACCCATCCAGAAGAAATACTATCAACAATAGTCACTGCATAAGTTAGCGGCCAAGTATTATGGACCCTATAAGGTCCTATAGATGGTGGGACAAGTTGCTTATTAGCTGGAGTTGACTGCTAAATCATGTAGCTTCCCTATATTTCATGTATCATTGCTCAAGGTCTGTGTAGGGAAAGGGACACCAGTAAGCCCCAACATGCCTCTACAGTGGGAGATTATGGCTACTTTTGTATGGAATGAGAACTGTGTTAGGTATGTAGGTTGTGAGGGAGGATAATAAGCCACTAATGTAGTTGCTTCTTCAATGGAAGCACTCTAGTCCAGATTATGCTCCTTGGGAATCACTGGAAACTACGCCCCAGCGGTTCCTAGATTTTGACACTATTGCACCTCTCATCCTTAATCACATGGATGCTTTTTTTCTTTTTTGGGGGGGTGGTTTTAGTTTATACAAGACATTTGTATTTGTTTCCCTCATATGAACTGTGGTTGTTAGTGGTAAGGAACATCGGTCACTTTAGGCACCATTATGTTAGTCAGGGTGTTTAACGAAGTTTTGTATAATTGAGTTCTGTGCCACTATGCTATGGTGTTATTTAATAGATGATTTTATTTTCTTCATAATAGAAGGTATTTTCTTCATGATCAAAAGGTATGGAACGCTTTGCATACGTGAAAATCCTGGATGTCTTTTCATCGCGACAAATCGAGATGCTGTTACTCATCTCACAGATGCGCAGGAATGGGCAGGTCATTACACGCCTTCTTTCCTCTTGTGTTTGCAAATGACATTGCAAATCTTAATTATACAACATTTTGGATTTTCTTTTTTATAACATCAAGCTAGATTCATGTTAACCAAATAGCAAAATAACTGGTTCTGAGCTGGCTGCTAGACTACAAGATAAAGTTTCAAATAATTCAATTACATGGAATTTTTCTTATGTTTCATCTTGAAACTCATCTTGTTCAGTAGTACTTTAAGTTTCAGTATAGATATCATTAAAACTTTCCTATAAATATGAAATTACCTGATATTTTTCCCCGGAAGTTAATAATCTATCTATTGCTCTAATAGTTATTGCAATGTCTAATTGATTTTAGGTGGGGGATCCATGGTTGGTGCTATTAGTGGATCTACTCAACGTGAGCCGCAAGTGGTTGGAAAGCCCTCAACTTTTATGATGGACTACTTGGCTAATAAGTAAACTTTTAAATTTCCCTATTTTACGTTCTTGACGGTTGAATAATGACCGTCTAATAGGATCATTAACCTGAATTGAGCGGATAGCACCTATATTACATGGTTTGTCCATGGATACCCAAAGTTTTCTGCATTACAACCTGTCGGTGTCATTATTGTATTAATGTTCAATCATATGCCTTTATAATCTTGCCTTCCGGAATGCATACAGTTCAAAAGATTTTAGTTTTATGTTGTCTAAAATCTCAATATTTTGTTGCACATAGACCACGAGGGAGTGAAGCATCACATGCAAGAAAATAGATTATCAATTAGTTATTAGTCTACCCAGATTATATTTGCGCATTGCATCACTGTGTCTCTCTCTCTATATGCATTTGCATGTCTCTCTGTATGAAACTTGACATTTGGGTCAAGGAGTTTCCCTTCCCTTAAACCTGGCGTGATATTTGCAAATGACAGATTTGGGATTCAGAAGTCACAGATTTGCATGGTTGGGGACAGATTAGACACAGATATTTTGTTTGGACAAAATGGAGGCTGCAAAACTCTTCTTGTGCTGTCTGGGGTAACCTCATTGGCCATGCTTCAGAATCCCAACAACAAAATACAACCAGACTTCTACACCAACAAAATTTCAGACTTTCTTTCCCTGAAAGCTGCACCTGTATGATCTCTTCATGATAGTCTCTCGTGTTCAGAGTGTAATTTACTCCTATATTTATTCCTGTCTACCTTATTTGAAATCATTTCTATTCATTTTTATCTTCCTTCGAGATGAATCTTTATCTGTTCTATAAGCTAATCTTTTAATTTGTTACCACTCCTATTCTCTTTCAATCCTTGAAGACAGTTCAGCTTCAGTAAATTGTCTGTTATCATTTGAAATTTAATTTACAGACATATATTAGTTTTATCTTCCTTAGGACTTAGGAGCATTGCATTCACAGTACAACTCATAAATACAAACTACATTTAAAGTGAAAAGGAAAATCTAATTATATATATATATATATATATATTATCTTAGCACAGCACAGGGTGCTACTGTCCCTAAATTTCATTTTTCCGATACCTTTGGGTTCTCATGGACATTTTCCCAAAAAGATAATCGGCAAAAATTACAGTTTTAAATAGGAAAAAAAATACATTATATAGTTGTAAAAAAGTTTTAATTTTTTTTGGAATTTAAGAGTAAAAATATATTGAACTTTTCCATTGAGAGCACCCAATATCCTTAAATAAAGAAAGGTACAAAAGTACCCATAACAACTAATGGTGATTAAATGGATGTAAAAGTACTTAAATTGTTAAATTTGACTAATGTACATTAATGTTAACTGTGAAGAAAAAAGAAGCAAATATAAGGTACAAAATGTCTATAAATTTTTTATCTAGAAGCTTTTGATATCTTTAAGTTAATGATAGTGCATAAGTATTTATTAACTTTATAAAAGAAGTAATATAGCCAAGCTCGATCTAACAATTTGGGCTTTCATGCTTATTTGAGCTGATCAAAATACATGAATTATAAAATATTATTTTTTCTTTTTTAATCAATTTTAATTTTTATCTAATTTTAATTTTATGTTATTAAAAATAAAAAAGAATTCAAATATTTAGGCTAAGCCTATTCAGGTTTGGACTTAACCCTAATTAATAGGTCAACTTTTTCCAATCATTTAAGCTCTATTCTTAAAGCTTCACGATCAATATCAAGTCATTTTAACATATTAAAAAAGATTAGATTAAGTAATTTAGATTAAGCTCAATGTGACAATTTGACTAAACCCAAAAAATCTTAATATTAAGCTTAGAAGTTTAGAATATTTTTTTTTTTACTTTAGGCTTATTCGAACTGCCTGAACTCAAATGTAAATGGACTTAGTTTGAATACTTGAATTTCTTTTTATTATTGATAAAACAAAGTTAAAATTAAATTGACTTAAAAAATAGAATAAAATAATATTTTATAATTTAGAGATACGAGATGACTCGAATAAATTCAAAAACTCTAGTTGTTAGAGTTGAGTTTAATTATATAGCTTTCTTTATAAAATTAGTGGATACCTCTGCATCTATGTTGACTTGAGGAGGATACCAGAAGTTCATAGATAAAAAGTTTGAGTATTTTGTTATCTTATATTTGCTTCTTTGTTTTTAATTGTCACAGTTAACGAATGTCAGTCAAATTTAACTTATTTGAATAGTTTTACATCTACTTTATCAACATTAGGTATTTTTGCACTCTCTTTCATTTAAAGATTCTGGATGTTCCTAAAAAAAAAGTTCATAAGTACCCCTTATTCTTTAACTCATTATTTTATTTAACACGTCTTGCATATTTTTTTAATAAGAGAGGAGACTATCATTTTTTGTCAAACGCGCACACACAAGCACATTAAAATTGGATTGGTATTAATAATTTTGTGTGCGGATTAAATGATTGACGGAATATCTTTTTTGAGTCAAAATAGTAAAATTTATTTTGATAAGAAATATCTACAAATAGACAGAAATAAAAAAAAGAGGGGGCCGGGGGCTGGGATTCCATTTATTTAAGAAGGATTCCCTTGCTTTCATGCCTTTTGAGTTCATGAATATGAGGATTCACTTCAAACTCTGACTTGTCTTGGCCTCAGCAAGTAGCATTTGCTCTTCAGCATCCCCAGCCCTCTTCTTATTCCTCTCCCTTTCCTCATGCCGAACGAATTTCTCACATTCTGAGCCATACACTGGCCACACCCCACATTCTCTGATGTCCAATGTCCGCCCCCTCCTAAACTTCTCAAGAGTGAATTCAAAGGAAAGCTTTGTGTCAGTGAACAACTGTTGATTTCCTCTTCTTCTAATACCCTGCATTACTTCTCTACACTTCTCGGTATCATTCCATATGACAACTAGATTGGATCCCATATCTGCATCAAAATAGAAACGTGACTTCCTGTGCACCTGAGAACCATCCAAGTAGCATGCCCATTTCAAATCAAAGATACGCACATGTCCACTTTCAACGTCATCGTAAAAAGCAATGCAGAAGGAGAAATCCAGCAAGTCTGAAATTCGAGGGAGCTCAACAGTTACAGTGCTTTTTGCTGCTCTGTATTTGAACCACTCTGGTACTCTGCTTCCTGCGACTCGCATCTCATAAGAGTGCATGTGGTTCTTATTTTCAGGCAATGCATGATAAATTCCGGAATAGACAGCCCCCATGATATTGTGACATGATTCTTCATTCAATCGCTTGCATTCCACAAATGAGAACCGTATTTGGCCACCATTCAATGGTTCATAAGCTGCCAGTCTCCAACGACTTGCAATAACTGACTGTTATGGTTGTTATGGATGGTGGTAGTTCCGGTAAAGAACGCAGCCTATCGCAAGAATCCAAGTATAGACTTTCCAATCTTAAAAGATGTTTGGTGTTGTTGGGAAGTTCGGTTATGTTAGAACAACCCCATAAGCACACTTCTCTCAAAGACAACATGCGATCAAATAAGATATGTAGCGTCAAATCATCAATGACTCCACAATAAGAAAGTCTAAGCTTCGTCAAACTCCTCAACCAAGATTATTGGCTTGGAAGGTCCACAAGTGTTGAGCGTCGTATATCGACTATTGTTAATTCAAATTGACTCCTAAAAGACTCGCAGTCGGAGTAACACCATGCTGTACTACATAGTTCCAATCGTGTGTTTTTTTCTGATAACACTGAAAGTTCCATGAGATCTGAGCAGTCTGACACATCAATCCATTTTAGAGATTTCAAAGGAAACTCACTTTTTAAACTCTCAAGTTTCTTGCACCCACTCAACCTCAACGAATGAAGCGAGGGGAGAGACCAAATTGATGAATGAACATCACACAAACTTTCACATCTAGCGAGTTTTAAATCTTTGAGATTCAAGCTTTTAGAGAGATCCGGCAATTCCTTTAATTGTTTGGATCCTGAGAGGTTTATCTCTTCTAAATTCAGAAAATCCTATAACAATAGAGATAGAAAATGCAAACGAGATTACCATGAAGCTTCAAATAAATGTAAAACATTAAAAACAAATGAGATTAATTATACATACCTGCACCCCGTCCCAAAGCTTTTGAAGTCGGCTGTTTGGCATGGAAAGCGTAACAACCTTTTCAGCACAAAAAGTGGATGTCAGAGATTTAAGTGGGAATCCATGCCACTCTAGATACCTTATTTTATTAGGAAGAAATTCGAGACCATCTGGAAGGTGCACATGACTTCAGCCCTTGTCGAAACCAGAATAAAATTTCAAAAATCAAATATTACGCATCTTTTTGAAAATGTCAGTCTCCAAATGTAGGTCTCTAATTTGAGTAACATCCAATTGTATTCCTTCAACTTTGTTTGTTCCCTAAAATACAAAAAACAAAAACTGTAGTAGTAGATCGACTCATATTACGTTTATATTACTCATAAAATTATAAGGAAGACATAACAAAATAAAATTAAAAGGTAAAACAAGAAAAGATCTCTTACCGCATTATTAGCTAAGACATCACATATTTCCTCAATCCCATAATCGGCTGTGCGCTCCAGGTTCATCAATAGATTCTTCACAAACAATTTGCAAACCCATTTCTTTTATTAAATCATGCATTTCAACACGCCAATGATAATTTGCATTTATGAGAGCCTTGTCATGAAGTGTTCTTAAACCAATAGCTCCGTCGAAGCCAAAGCTATCCAATAAGTTGATTGCAAATTCCCTTGATGCTCCCTTCAAGAAGCATGCAATGTCTAGGAATATTTTCTTCTCCTCATGATTCAACCCATCATAACTCAATCTTAACACCTTTTGAATATCTTCATGAGGACTCTTCTCAAGTTTTCTTAATACACTGTTCCATTCAACTTTACTCTTGCCACGAAGATATGAACCCAAGACTTTTAAAGCCAATGGAATTCCTGTTGCATGAACAAGTGCCCTTTGTGTTAGCTCTTCGTATTCCATTGTAGAAAGGCCATTGTTGAAAGCATTCAAGTTGAAAAGTTCAAGGGATTGATGGGGCTTCAATTCCTTAACCTTGCATATTTCATCAACTCTTTTGCTAAGGACATGCTTGTCCCTAGTTGTGATGAGGGTTCTACTTCCTGGACCAAAGCAATGAAACTCTCCAACCAAATTTTCTAATTGCTCCAATGTACTAATATCATCAAGAACAACGAGAACTTTCATGCGGCTGAGCCTAGACTCAACAAAAGTGGTTGAAGTATCAATAAAATGATCATCTTCCTTTAGTAGACAAGAGAGAAATTTGTGACATAATTCAGCAAGTCCGTTTTTGGACTTTTCCCTTACATTTTCCAAGAAGCAAGAGCCTTCATAACGGGAAGAGTATTTGAGAAAAATAGTTTTGGCAATGGTTGACTTGCCAATGCCCCCAGGCCCCAAATTCTAATGGTTTCAAACTTTTCCTAGTGTAATTCAATCACCGCACAGTTGTCGTCAATACCTACAAGTCCTTTTAATTGACTAGGTGGGTACTTCTGACTCAATTTTTTGCAATATGCCTTTTACAGCCTTTTGAATCAGTTCAGATTCATCCCTGGCATGGGAAAAAATAAAAGGAAGAAATAAATGAAAAGTAAAATCAATCCCAAAAAAAAAGATTTCTCAAAGACAAAAGACAAATAGATAATAAATGAGGATAAATTAAATAGAGTTAAGTATTTGATCTATCATGTAATAGCCTTAAATAATATATATATATATATATATACTTATTTAATTAACTATATGAATATATTTTAGTTATGTTTGGGGTAATTATAACAATAAGGAGTACTGTAGAATGGAAGTATGTATGCCAAGCAACTTGAAGGTTTCCGGTTCGAATCCTTAATGCAATAAAAGGGAATTTTATTTTGTTCAGCTTCTTCAAAATTATGAAATTACCTTTTTCCAAATATGATAAAAGCTTCCTTCTCTTCCTCGACCATTCCAAAAAAACAGGGAGCGAGAGAGAGTATGAGAATATGACCGACTTAACCTTCCTGTACCTCTGACCCTTTTCTTGTTTCAGTGATCACCGACTCATCTCCCTTTTGTGTTCGTGGCAGCGGCTGGTGTGATTGAAGCTGTAATTGCTCTGGTTCATTTCCCCTATGTTCCCTGTCTTTATAGTCATTCTCTATTTTTGTTTCTGGCTATCTTTGTTGGGTTCAGTCGCTGCTCAATTTTTGTTGTCTGTTCGGGTTGCAGCTGGCGTGAGGCTAAATCGTTGGAACTAGAGGTTCTACTCATGAGCCTTTCTTTTTTCAACTGAACCGTAAGCATTATGCTCTGCTGTACTAGTCTTTGCTCCTTGTTTCTACATTTTCTTTGTATGCTGTCTGTCCGTGTCGTTCTGGTCTGAGAAGTCGCAAAGTATTGAGTGCTGGAAGGCTGTTACTGTGAGCTTGTGTTTGTGCGGCTGAATTAGTCTTCTTCCATTGTTGGATATGGTGATAACGTTTAGATTATGGCGCAGGACCTTGAACTCAAATACATTACCCACAATGGAAGTAAACATGTTAGTAACAGAACCTTCTTTAAAAAGGTGCTCCCCCTGTTCAGCGTTCAATAGCACGTCTATTTCTTCTTTCTCTCGGTTCACATTGTTTAGGCTGGCTGAGTTGAGGTGAGGGAATTTGGACCTTCTATTTGTTAGCATGTTATACGTGTGAGAGAAAATGTGTGCTGTTGCTGCCATATGCGTGAAGTTACAACATTTTTTTTGCTTTGTTCTGCTGCTGTCCGTATGTGTGTCAAGAAGATGAGTAAAAAAAAATAATGAAAATGAAATTAAGCTGGAAATTTTGAGGGAGGAAACTATGTTAAAGAAGCCTGATAATAATATGTATGTGAGTGGCATAGAATTTAGATATTGGTTGGATTGATTCATGTTAAAGAACTTATTAAGGAAAGATTGAAAGAGGACAGTCTTGATATATTACTTGAATATTAACTTCATGGAGATGCCTATTGAAATGTTTGAAAAAAATTTAAAGCATGAATTTTGGTGATGAATTTTAAATGATAATGGTTCATATGCAAAGTAGAAGGAAGTCTTTGTAAATTAAAGACGATTTGTTAAATTTTCTTTAATAATATCCTTATAGGACGTGCGGAAGAAGAAGATCCTGATAGAAATTGAAGAAAAAACATTTTAAGAATTTGAAACTTCAATAAGTAAGTAAATAGCATTCCATTTAATTTATTTTTATTCTTAATAGCCTTTTTTCTTGAAATATTTTATTCTTATAGATTATATTAATTTTGAAAATTATGAAATATCAATGAAGAATAAATGAATTATGATATGTGTATTTATTGATTCTTGAAATATATTTTCAAGTTGGATGAAAGCATTCTTGTATGGTTGTTAAACTTTGAAATTTATTTGATACTCAATTAGTGCAAGTTTATGATTTTGACAAATATTGAAATAATTCATGCAAGTTTGGTAGTAAGAATGATAATCTATTTCAATGATAATTGTTTTTCTCGTATGTTTGAAATGTGATTTTAAGAAAACTCAAAACAGAACATTGCTGCTAACAGCAGTTCCGTTAGCTCATAGCGCGCTGTGGTTAAACACTAGCTAGTTTGTTTCGTGAGTTTTATTCTCACGTTTGGTATTCATGGGCTTTGTACCCACATTTGATTCCGCGGCTTGATCTACGTTTGGTTACTTATCCTCATGAGTTGTGTGTCTACGTTTGTTTCGTAACTTCAGCTGCGTTTGGTTATTTATTCTCATAGACTGGTGTGTCCATGTTTGTTTTTGTGGCATAAGCCACGTTTGATTATTTACCCTCGTGGACTGTGTGTTCACGTTTGTAACCTATTCTGTTGAATTCTCAAAATTCTAAATGTTAATTAAAGTGTTTTTAAAATTTACATGATTTTGGCTAACAATTTTACCACTTTGAGGAATATGTGAGTAAATTGTTTTCTTTAAGCATGATAACATAATTTTTTTTAATTTACTCTTATTTTACAATTATGGATATAACTTATAGGCTTATAAATCTTTGTGAAATCGTTTTTAATTAGTTGACACCATTATTGAAGTTTATTGATTTAAATTCTAAGAATTATGCCATGGGAATGCTATTCACTGAAAAAATTATTTTGGTCTCAAATTTATTAACTGACGCTGATCCCACCATCGATCTCTAAAAGGCAACTAGCTACAAGGTGGACATTTTGATTGGTATTGTTGCTTTTATGAAAATATATAATTTATATGTCTTTTTGATTTGAAAGAAAGAGTAAATGCTCCATATAGGTTGTTGATAAACCTTATTTTTGGTCTGTATATTGGTTGCTAGCTGGAGGGAGCTACACTCTTGATTTATACTGTTATCTGTAAAAAAATTTGTTGTAGAATTTTCGGAAGATCCTAGTTACAGGAAAGGTTCTGCCAAAATTTCTACAAAAAAATGTCGACACTTTTTTATGATAATGAATTTAAAGGAATTACTTTAATTCTCATGTAATTTGATTAATTTTGTTCTTTTCTTTCATAAAATGGAATAAATATTTATTTTGGGTTTACGAAAATGTGTGAGTAATTTACGACCGTGCCGGTCACCCTCTATTCATGGGGCGTGACACATCAAGTCAATCACCGCCACCCCCCTCCTTTGTGAAGAGAAGAAAATTAATGAATTGGTCACCCAAATGTGTGAGAGTCATAACCAGCTAAGTTTACAGCTTCATTGAGAGATTGCTTCCACATTTTGATCTCGTCTTGCCTGCCCTTGAAATTCCTCTCAAATGCTTGCTTGTAAGTGTCAGTCTGATTGCGTACATGAGATGGATCCACTTTATAGAAGATAGGAATAACAATCTGGCCTTGAACCCTCTTGCAATGGAGTATATGGGCGAGTTCGTTCAAGCACCACCTGGAAGAAGCATAATTTTGAGAGAAGACCACCACAGATACATAGGAATCATCGATTGCTTGCAGAAGTGCTGGTGAGATCTCATCTCCTTTGGGAAGCTGGTAGTCTATGTAGGTTCTGATGTGTTTTCTGCAGAAAGCATCGTGAAGATGGCTAGTGAAGTTGAAGTGAGTGTCCTCACCCCTAAAGTTGATGAAAACATCATAATTTTTGGGGAGGGATTGAGCAGAGGAAGAGGAGGAAGCAGCTACAAGGGCCATATCTATTTGATGAAGAAGCAAGAGGAGAGAAATGTGCGTGTTGTTGTATGAGAAGCCTGAAAATATATTAGAGATGGAAATGTTGACAGGAGTATCACCAGAAGCTGTGTATAAATGGAGAAGAATGGAGAGCCCACGTGGTCATGTCTTAATACAGGCTTGCCAATTTCCTGGAAGGATGGAATTGATTATGTTTCTATATGTAAAGTCCGACACTTTGTGACTTCAGTCAAAATGTGAGGTCTAACATTAGTGTGTGTATGCCATGAAATTTCCAGGAAGGAGGGATTCACAATCTTTTCATGGAAAAGAGTGTAACTTTATTACTTGGGAGTCTTAGTGGCCGTCAAAATGAGCGATTGGTAGTCAAAAAGATATATCAGATATGTTTTGTAGTCTAAAACGCAAAATAAGGGTTAGAGGCACCGGTGAACTTTCAAGTCACGCGGTCGATATATATATATATATATATATTTCTTTTTTTGCCAGAAGGTTACGCCGTATACAAGCTTCAAAGTTGTTCAACTCAGAAACCGTAGCAACATTTCCTTGAAATTTAATCTGTAACTTGAAACTTGTAAGAAACTACTAAATACGTCCAAAATAGGAAAGAAATACTCAGAAAAACACGAACCTATGACATTAGGGGGCATCTAATTAACAACACCTTTGATAAACAAAAGTTCAGTTGAAGGGAATATTAGAGACTCATCAAGATTGGAGTATGTCTCTAGTTTCAAAGCATGTTTGCAGGTATATTTACGGATCGCCCAACAATAAAATCCTTGCATTAACAATAAGATTTGACACACTACCTTGTGAAATATGAGTCAAATACTTATCGATTGAACTAATAGATGCGACAACTTTATTTTAGTTATAATACTTTTTAAGTTACACTCACACTATGAGGGTGTTAAATTTTTAAGTCATGATTTGTAAAAGCTCTTGGGTATTGACTTTCAACCAAGATTCCTGTGAAAACTTTTTGATCCAATTTAATTTCAATCAAAACCTTTAAAAAAATTTTGCACATGTGAGGGACTTGATGAAATTAAAGAGTTGATTGAAATAAATTTATTAACAAATAACCATTTGTAAAATGATAAGACATGTCACTAACTTTGAAACTTTTTGTTGATAATTTAATAAACAAGTACCAATTAGTAATTTAATAAATAACTATTTATAAAATGACAAGTCTTATTACTAATTTTAAAAATTTCTTTTAATAGTTTGACAAGTAAATTTTAATAAAATAACAAGTTCATATAAGCTTTTGTCATATAAAATTTTAGTAATAAAAATAAGTAAATATTTATAAAAATCATTCTATATTAAATTTCTCTAACAAGTTTTCATTGATAATTTAACAATTAGTTATTTATAAAATGACAAGTCTCGTTATTAATTTTAAAAATTTCTCTTGATAAATGGATAAAAAAGTCCCCACTGATAATTTAACAAGTAGCTACTTATGAAATGACAAATTCCGTCACTAGCTTTAAAAATTTCTCTTAATAGTTTGATAAGTAAATTTTAGCAAAATAACATGTTCATATAAACTTTTAATATGTAAAGTGTTAACAATAAAAATAAATAAATATTTATAAAAATCACCCCATATTAATTTTTTTAACAAGTCCCCATTAATAATTTAATAAGTTACCATTTGTGAAATGACAAGTCCCGTTATTAGCTTTAAAAATTTTTCTTGACAATTTCACAAACAAATCCTCATTGATAATTTAACAAGTAATTATTTATAAAATGATAAATCCCGTCATTGACTTTGAAAATTTTTCTTAATGATTTGACAAGTAAATTTTAGCAAAATAACAAGTTTGTATAAACTTTTAACATGTAAAGTGTTAGTAATTAAAAATAAGTAAATATTTATAAAAATAACTCCATATTAAATTTATTTAACAAGTCCATATTAATAATTTAACAAGTAACCTTTGTAAAATGATAAATCTCATTACTAACTTTATAAAAAATTTTCTTGATAATTTGACAAGTAAATTTTTGCAAAATAATAAATTTGCATAAGCTTTTAACATGTAAAATTTTAGTAAGAAAAAAAATAAAAATTTAAAAAAATTATTCCATATTAAACTTTTTTAACAAATCCTCATTAATAATTTTACAAGTAATTGTTTATGAAATGACAAGTCTTGTTCTTAAATTTAAAAATTTCTCTTAATAATTTAACAAACAAGTTCTTATTGATAATTTAACAGGTAATTATTTGTGAAATAACAAGTGCCGTTACTGAATTTAAAACTTTCTCTTAATAACTTGACAAGTAGATTTTAATAAAATAACAAATTTACATAAGCTTTTGATATGTAAGCTTTTGATAATAAAAATAAGTAAATATTTATAAAAATAAGAGCATTTTAAATTTTTTTAATGAGTTCCATTAGTAATTAACAAATAGCTATTTGTGAAATGATAAGTAACCATCAAACTCTTAACAAGTATTGGTATAAAAAGTAAAAACAAAATAATATATATGTATATATATAAACATTTGTATTATATAATTAAAAAGAATTGTTAGCCTAGTGGCCAATGATCTTTTTAGCGGTCAAAGGGATGTGAGTTCAAACCCCCTTTGGCCACCTTAAAAAAATTTAATTTGTCTTCCTTGTCAATCTGGTGAACATCAGGCACCCGGTCTGACCACTAGTGCCGGAGTTTCGGTGGCCAATGACGCTAGGGGATTTTTTTTAAAAAAATGAGGGATACTTTTACATTTTGATCTCTTGGTTCTGCAAAGTAAATTCAAGATCTTTGATTCTTTTCTATACATAAAATGCTCTAGAGGTCCTTCACTATAATTTTCCTTTTTTTCCCCTAACATGAACGATTAATCTATTGATAAGAAATGAAATTAAAGAGCCATAATAGAGAATGTGCTAAAACTTCATGTCCAAATCTTTTTTTTTGGGCTAAACTTCATGTTTAAACCTGATTCCACTATGTAGGTCAAAAAATAATCGAATTCCATTTTGTGGCTTAGAGAACATCTTTGAAAACAAGACCAACAATTAATGCAAAGCTTATCCTTGGTGGTCAAGTGTAAGTTAAAAATGAAAAAAAAAATGAAAAGGAAAGGAAAGGAAAGGAAAGAAAAAAAAAAAACCTCCATTATATATAGTTGAACGAAAGCCTCAATAACAATTGATCCAACTAGCGAGAAGAGCCTTAACAATTATCACACTTTACCTCTAATGGTCTTTGGTGAAGTTTTTTGAAGTATGTATCTTAGGGTTAGATCATTCTCCCTAAACTTTAATATGGATATAAATTTCAATATCAGATCATAACACAAAATCTTAAGATGATAAGTTTATAGGTTATTTCATTGATATCTTTTTTCTTTAAACTAAATTTATCCGATATAAAATTTCATCATATTTCTTTTCATATCAACTCACTCTTCATTTTTCATAGAAATATATCACTTAACATAAGTCCACTTTTTTTTTGAGTGGAAACTAAAAAAGATACACAAACAATCTAAAAGATAACAAGAAGTTCAACAGTAAATACAAAAGAAATTCTAGAAGTCCCTTTCCTCTTTAACCATCTTCCATCTCCAAGGTTGAGCTTGGATGATGATTGAAGGGGCAGAGATTAACTTGTAAAGAATGAAAAAGCCTAGATAAGTAGTTAGCATCACGATTACAGTCCCTATGTACATGATTGAGGGTAATCTGACCCTCCTTGCAAAAGAAAGATCTCGCCTGTTCTACAATATCCTTAAATGGATAGTTTTGATCACAACCATGAATGACAAGGTTGATTGCTTCCAAATATTTTGAGAAAATTGCCACTCTATAAAGGTTCCTTTCCAAACACAAGGTGAGTCCTTGCATGATCTTGACCAACTCTACAACTATAAGGGGAACATTAATCAATTTGGAGCTGAAACCACATATCCAATTGTTATGGCCATCATGTATGACACCTTCACATCTATTGCTTCCATTGTTTTTGACCAATCCATCCTCATAAAGTTGAAAGAAATCATCTCTACTATTGCTTTTTTGTGCCTTAGCATTAGATATATGATTAAACAAAGGGGAGTTATTAATAAGATCCCTATCCATACATGCTCTACTTAAATTAGAAAAACTGTCCTGGAAGTTTCTTATTTCTTGATAGCCAAAGATTACATTATAGCAATGAACCCAAATGTCCCAACATAAATATCCAAACATTGTCAACCAAGGTATTTTCTTAGTTAGTTCTTTAACTATTTCATTTTTTTTAGATTCCATTTGGCCTAATCTACTCATTGGAGATAGCAGAAAGTCTCCATTTTACTGTCCAAAACCACAAATTTATATCAATTGAAAGCATTGTCACAATCTCTAAGAAGCTATATGGCATCTTCTTTAGAATTGCATCCCATTGGGCCAACATCATGATTCTACATACTTATTTTCCTTAGATCCGCGATATGCAACCTTCCATGTGTGAAGAGCCACATGGAGGATTTGATCTTTTCAAAAATGGGCCATCTCCATAAGAGCTTTTGTATAACATCCACCTATTGTTGCATACTTGCAGAAAGAAAATTATAGGAAAATTTAACAATGAAATAGCCATCCAAAGATGGTTTCAATAGTGTTTATCATATCCTCTCTCCTCATGAGGTGGGTATTCACGAGTCAAACAATCCACAACAAGAATATCAAGCTAGTCTAGTAGTCTCTCTGTATTCCACTCACCATTTTATCATGCATCTTTTGACCAATTAAATAAATAAAAGTTACACAGTATACTTTTTTGTTTTTTAATTGTTCTTGCCAGAAAGTTACGCGGCACACAAGCTTCACATTCGTTCAACTCAGAAACTTCAGCCAACTACGTAAATTAAAACATCTAGAATTTTTTTAAATTAGAGGGACAAATAATAACGACCCAAGATTATAAATGGAATTGAACTCGTGACTTACGGGAAGCTTGCACACCATGCATCAAGCTACAAGGCGAGTTCATTGGCTAAAACATATAGAATTGATATAGGTTTTGATCAAGTCTTGTCTTCAAATCAGAATACCTAGTTTTCTAAAGCTCTACACCAAAATAAATCCAGCAAATACTTTAATCTGCTCCTATATATATATATATATCGAAATCACTTAGTTATCGAATTACATGGTTCAGATTGAAATAGATTGATAAATTATGTAAACCTTCACTGGAACCATTTAGACATACGAAAGCTACAACAAAAAACGAAATTTGCCACACACAAAAACAGTTCAAATTGATTTTGCTACTGACTTTTTGACAAACTATTCCACCGTCATACATACATACATATAAAAGGGGATGACAAGATTTTTTAGAAATGTGTTATGATAAATATGTATCAGAAAAATTTTTGCTCCGCAGTTAGACAATAAGGAAATTACAGGTCCCCATGTTGCTCCGCAGTTGCTCTCTGGGGCATACCTCACTGCCGCTCTTTTAAGGCCTAAACTCGAAAATTTTAATTAAATCAACACCCAGCCAGATCAAGACATTGGATAGCATATGAGGAACGTTTCCCATATATGTATAAATTTTGAATAACATAATTAGAATAATTTGGAGTGAGAAATTTGATGAAATTTATGAGGAACGTTTCCCATCAATATTTTCAATTCTCACCCGCTCTTTTATCTTTAACTTTTTCTTACTTCCATCAATCTTCTTTACGTTTTTTTTTTCTCTATTGCACTATATCTTCTATACCTTTTAAAGATTATCTTCATAAAAAATATTTTTTACACAATATGAAGCTATATGTTAATCTTGTATAATGTAACAATAAAATTGACCAATTTATAATTTTATTAAAATATAGCATATGACATTGTGATTTTATTTTTGATATGATAAAAAAAAATACTTCTAATGGTTCACTTTTGAACGCATATATTATGCAAATCAAGTTAACTTTACAAAACATTAAAGCGATCTGTCATGTTTTTTTTTTTTAATAACAGATCTGTTATGTTTTTTTCGGAAAGAAGTGCGAAACTGCAAGGAAAATGGCTTAAGGTTATTTTTACCTTAAAACATTTTTTAGAAATATTAGGCATCCTATATAAGATAGATAAGTGGAGTAGTTTTTTCCAGAACTATTCTTTTAATGAGCAAAAAATTTCTTCCATTATTTACCCATTAATTTTGTCATTTTCTACTAACGTTACATGTGTATAGGCACTGGCAGTGCCAAGACCTTGGGCTATGGAATACAGTATATTTAAAAATAATTAAAAAAATTTTGAACTGAAAATCTTTAAAATTGAGCTAAGAGATGCAAAATAGTTGGGCCAAAAAATACAAAATATTAAAATACATGAACCTTTCTTGTAATTTTCTCCAAGCCTAATGTGGCGCCGCTTTCGTGCATAGGGCTGTACAATGACAGGTAAAACTATGATAATATTTTTTTCTGTTAACTTACTCTTGATTTTTTTTAGGAGCGCTAGATACTCTGAAGTCTATTTTTAATTCTTATTAAAATAAAATTTAATAAATATTTTTAAAATAAAATATTTAATAATTTAAATATTATTATTTATAAATATTGATTCAAAATTTATAAATTATGTTTTAAATATTAACAACTTAAATTAGTTGTCTGGAAACTTATTGATGACTTATAATTTTTTATATATCAATCTTATTTTTAATATAAATTAAGTTTTCTAAATTTTTTTTATAATTTTTTAGGGTAACTAACAGCCTTCACATGAGAGCAAAAGCTTAAATTATAAAAGTTCTACGCACTTCTTTTGCTTTTCTTTTCAATCACTTACCATGATGTGAATTATACATGTCTAAGTTAAAAGACACGTACAAAGTACAACTAATAAAATTAGTTAAATAAACTTATAGATAAAAACGAATGTAATAATATTTTTATATACATAGGATAAAAAATTTTGGAAAAATTGTGTATAGATCTCATAGAGCAAATTTATTTATCAATAAATCTCGTGAAATTCATAAATTACAGCCAAATCTCTTAAGACTTGAGTGTAATTTAAAATTATGCTACAAAGACAATAATACCCTATTAAATATATATTACATCAATCAAATAATTATTTTACAACTACTTTATTAGCAATTTATAATTATAATTTTAACTTTTTATAAATGTAATTTTACATATTCAATAGTTAAATAATCATTTGTTACTAACAAAGTTCAATATTAATTGTTTACAACTACTTTATTAGTAACTTACAATAATAACTTTAGCTTTTTATAGCTGTAACTTTGATGTATTCAATAATTAAATTGATCAATTTAACTATTAAATATGTATAGTTACAACTGTAAAAAGCTGAAGTTATAGTTGTAAGTTATTGATAAAGTAATTATAAATTATTTAACTGATATAATGTATATATGTTTAATAGAAGCATAATTGTCTTTTATTTTAATTTTAAATTACACTCAGGTCTCAAGAGACCTAGTTATGGTTCCTAAATTTTGTAGGATTTATTTGTAAATAAGTTTGCTCTATAAGACTTATATATAATTTTCTTTAAAATTTTTCTTGGGTGTAAATAATGACAAACATATAAATATTAATATTTTTATGTCAGACTTCAAACGCTTAAGCATCAAAAGATCTGAATTCGTATTATGATACCTACATTGTTTTAATTAAGGCATGATCAAGTTCAAATTTTATAAACAGTAAAACTTACGCGGTAAAAGGAAAATTCTTCGCGTTCTAGCTTAGATGTAGCTTCAATAAAAAATTACTAATATTGCATAGGGCACAATGCTCCCAGAAAAACCAAAACATAAATTCTATTCTTGACCAAAAAAATCATAAATATTATTCTATGTTTTAATTTTCAGATACTAAAATCATTCTAATCGTGTTCTGTATAATTTATTTTGGTCAAAATGTCTTCATCTTGTCTGGTCAACGGGCAATTAACGAGGAAAAGTTTTATGAATTTTACTTCATACGTCTAAATTTTTTGAATGCAATTTAAATATCTAAAATATGATTTTATTTCACATTGATTAATTTAAAACAAAACTACTATACGACAATTTAAAATATCTCAACAATTGGGTTATTATAATGACAACACTTGGCTTATTATATGCGGGATCACATCAGAGTTTACTAATAATTTAGTCAAGATTACGTATATGGAGATTCGAAAGCCTCGATATTAATCAATGAAATCGGACAAATATTACTGTTTTTTTCCTTTCCAAATAATATATTTTAGACAATAAAGCACAACCTATGTTTGTCATATTTTCTCTATTCTCTACCAACAAGGTTGGATGGCCTGATAAAAATTGTTAGTTTTTCATAACGACCAAACCAAGATTTTTTTTTTTCTGTTAACAAAGTCTTCTATGTTTGTCTTCTCAAATTAACAAAAACTCTTGAGAACATGACAGGAATGATCAATAAAATTAAAAGAGAGAACTGAGACTGAGGTCGATGTATATTTCTATGTTCTTTCATACTTTGTAACAGTGTTAAATTCATGATACAAACAATTTTTTGAAATTTTAAATCGAATCTCCTCGTATTTTAGGGAGAAATTCTTGAATGGGGCTCATTCACCATGTCATTTATGTTCCATATAATAAAAACAAAACATTTAAATTGAAAAATGAAAAATCTTAATTTTTTAAGAAAATTGAAATTAACTTAAAAAAGAAAAATATATATTTTACAATTCCAAGATTCAAGACAGCTTGAATAAACTCAAAAGTCTGAGTTGTTAGAACTGAGTTTAGCTATATGACTTCTTTTATAAAATTTGCAGGAATCTGTAACTATACATCAATGTTGGTTTAAGGAGGATACTAAAAGCTCTTGAGTAAAAAGTTTATGAGTACTTTTTTCATCTTATATGTGATTCTTTTTTCAATGGTCAAATAATCAAATTTAATTATTTGGACACTTTTGGACCGCTTCATCAATATTAAGGATATTTTTACACTCTCTTTCATTTAAGGATTCTAGGTGCTCCTAAAAATATGTTTTTAGGCATTTTTATCCTTTAATCCATTTTTTTATTTAACATGTCTTGCATATTATATTAGCAAAGGAGGAAACTGTCATTTTTTGCCAAATGCGCGCACACAAGCACATTAAAATTGGTTTGATATTAATAATTTTTTGTGCGGATTAAATGATTGACGGGATATCTTTTTTTGAGTCAAAGTAGTAATTTATTTAGATAAAAAATATTTAAATTAGACAGAAATATGTGGTTTGGGGCGGGGGCGGGGCGGGGGACTTAGATTTCATTTATCTAAGAAGTATTCCCTTGCTTTCATGCCATGCCAAGCTCAAGAGATAAATGGAGAATAAATGGGCAAAACAATAAGACAAAAACATAACATGAGGTCTCACTTCAAACCTGACTTGTCTTGGGCTCAACAAGTGGCATTTGCTCTTCAACAGATAAATCGAGAATAATCTCACTTGACTCTTGAGAGAAATGCAGAAATGGGAACCTATTGAAGGGACAGAACAATGAGACAAAACATACCGAGAAGGGAGTTCAGGTTATGTGCATTGTCATGAGCAGAGCGTTCAGCTCAGGAATATGAGGACCCACTTCAAACTTAGTTCTATTGGGCTCAGCAAGTGGCATCTGCTCGTCAGCATCCCGAGCCCTCTTCTTATTCTTCTCCCTTTCCTTGTGCCGAAAGAATTTCTCACATTCTGAGCCATAAACTGGCCACGCCCCACATTCTCTAATGCCCAATGTCTGCCCGCGGTAAAACTCCTCAACAGTGAATTCAAAGGAAAGCTTTGTGTCAGTGAACAACTGTTGATTTCCTCCTCTTCTAATTCCCTGCATTACTTCTCTACACATCTTGGTATCATTCCATATCCAAACTTGATCGGATCCCATCTCTGGATCAGAATGGAGAAATGACTTCCCATCCACCTGAGAACCATCCAAGTAGCATGCCCATTTCAATTGAAAGCAGCCACCTGAATATCCATGTTCAACGTCGTCGTAAAAGGCCATGCAGAAGGAGAAATCCAGCAAGTCCGAAATTCGAGGGAGCTCAACAGTTACAGTGCTTTTTGCTGCTCTGTATTTGAACCATTGTGGTACTCTGCTTCCTTCGACTTGTATCTTATAAGAGTGCATGTGGTTCTTATTTTCAGGCAATGCATGACAAATTGCGTAATAGACAGCCCCCATGATATTGTGACATGATTCTTCATTCAATCGCTTGCATCTCCAAAATGCCAAGTCTATCTGGCCGCCATTCAATGGTTCAAAAGCTGGCACAGTCTCCAACCACTTGCAATCTATGACTTTTATGGTTGTTACGGATGGTGGTAGTTCCAGTAAAGAACGCAGCCTATTGCAACACGATAAGCGAAGCCTTTCCAATCTTAAAAGATGTTTGGTGTTGTTGGGAAGTTCGGTTATGTTACAACAACCACATAACCATACTTCCGTCAAAGACAACATGCGATCAAATAAGAAATGTAGCTTCAAATCATCAATGACTCCACACTCAAAAAGCGCAAGATCCGTCAAACTTCTCAACCAAGATAATTGGCGTGGAAAGCCCACAAGTGTTGAGCCATCTAAATTGAATATTGTTAATTCCCTTTCCAACTCGCGGCGCGATTTACAGAATGATGTCTCACATAGTGCTAAGCGTGTGTTTTCTTCCGATAACACTGGAAGTTCAATGAGATCTGAGCAGTCTGACACATCAATCCATTTTGGAGATTTCAAAGGGAACTCACTTTTTAAACTCTTAAGTTTCTTGCACCCACTCAACATCAACGAATAAAGCGAGGGGAGAGACCAAATTGATGAATGAACATCACACAAACTTTCACAACTAGCGAGTTTTAAATCTTTGAGATTCAAGCTTTTAGAGAGATCCGGCAACTCCTTTAGTTGTTTGGATCCTGAGAGGTTTATCTTTTCTAAATTCGAAAAATCCTATAACAATAGAGATAGAAATGCAAACGACATTACCATGAAGCTTCAAATAAATGTAAAACATTTTTAAAAACAAATGAGATTAATTATACATACCTGCACCCCGTCCCAAAGCTTTTGAAGACGGCTATTTGGCATGAAAAGCTTAACAATCTTTTCAGGACAAAAGGTGGATGGCAGAGATTTAAGTGGGAATCCATACCACTCTAGATACCTTATTTTATTGGGAAGAAATTTGAGACCATCTGGAAGGTGCACATGACTTGAGTCGCAGTCGAAACGAGAATAAAATTTCAGAAATCGTATATTATGCATCTTTTTGAAAATGTCAGCCTCCAAATGTAGGTCTCTAATTTGAGTAACATCTAATTGTATTCCTTCAACTTTGTTTGTTCCCTAAAATACAAAAAAACAAAAACTGTAGTAAGTAGATCGACTCATATACGTTTATATTACTCATAAAATTATAAGGAAGACATAACAAAATAAAATTAAAAGCTAAAACAAGAAAGGATCTCTTACCGCATTATTAGCTAAGACATCACATATTTCCCCAAAATCCGACAATCGGCTGCGTGCTCCAAGTTCATCAATAGATTCTTCACGAACAATTTGCAAACCCATTTCTTGTATTAAATCATGCATTTCAACACGCCAATGATAATTTGCATTATAAGAGCCTTGTCATGAAGTGTTCTTAAACCAATAGCTCCGTGGAAGCCAAAGCTATCCAATAAGTTGATTAAAAATTCTTTTGATTCTCCCTTCAAGAAGCACGCAATGTCTAGGAATATTTTCTTCTCCTCATGATTCAACCCATCATAACTCAATCTTAACACCTTTTGAATATCTTCATGAGGGCTTTTCTCAAGTTTTCTTAATGCACTGTTCCATTCAACTTCACTCTTGCCACGAAGATATGAGCCTAAGACTTTTAAGCTAATGGAATTCCTTTTGCATAAACAAGTGCCTTTTTTGTTAGCTCTTCGTATTCCATTGTAGAAAGGCCATTATTGAAAGCATTCAAGTTGAAAAGTTCAAGGGATTGATGTGGCTTCAATTCCTGAACCGTACATATTTTATCAACTCCTTTGCTAAGAACATGCTTGTCCCTAGTTGTGATAAGGATTCTACTTCCTGGACCAAAGCAATGAAAATCTCCGACCAAATTTTCTAATTGCTCTAATGTACTAATATCATCAAGAACAACGAAAACTTTCATGCGGCTGAGCCTAGACTCAACAAAAGTGGTTGAAGTATCAATAAAATGATCATCTTCCTCTAGCAGATCAGAGAGAAATTTGTGACGTAATTCAGCAAGTCCGTTTTTGGACTTTTCCCTCACATTTCCAAGAAGCGAGAACCTTCATAATGGGAAGAGTGTTTGCAAAAAATAATTTTGGCAATGGTTGACTTGCCAATGCCCCCCATGCCCTAAATTCCAATGGTTTCAAACTTTTCCAAGTGTGATTCAATCTCTCTACAATTGTCATCAATACCTACGAGTCCTGTTAATTTAGTAGGTGGGTACTTGCGACTCAATTTTTGCAATACGTCTTTACAACCTCTTGAATCAGTTTAGAGTCATCCCTAACATGGGAAAAAATAAAAGGAAGAAATAAATGAAGAGCAAAATGAATCCAAAAAAAAAAAACAACATTTCTCAAAGACAAAAGACGAATAGATAGTAAATAAATAGATGAGGATAAATTAAATAGCGTACATATGTCTTAAGTATTTGATCCATCAAGTCAATCACCACTATACCCACATAATTTGTAAAGAGAAGAAACTTAAAGAACTGGTTACCTGATTGTGTGAGAGTCATGATGACCAGCTAAGTTTGCAGCTTCAGTGAGAGCTTGTTTCCACCGTTGGATATCGGGTTGGTTGACCCTGGGATCCCTCTCAAATTTCTCAAATGCTTGCTTGTAAGGGCCAGTCTGATTGCGTACATGAGATGGATCTACTTTATAGAAGACAGGAATAACAATATGGCCTTGATCCCTCTTGCAATGGATTATATGGGCGAGTTCGTTCAAGCACCACCTGGAAGAAGCATAATTTTTAGAGAAGACCACCACAGATACATAGGAATCCTCGATTGCTTGCCAAAGTGCTGGTAAGATCTCATCTCCCTTGGGAAGCTGGTAGTCTATGTAGGTTATGATGCGTTTGTTGCGGAAACCATCGTGAAGATGGCTAGTGAAGTTACAGCGAGTGTCCTCACCCCTAAAGCTGATGAAAACATCATATTTCTTGGGGAGGGATTGAGCAGAGGAAGAGGAGGAAGCAGCTACAAGGGCCATATCTATTTGATGAAGAAGCAAGGAGAGAAATGTGCGTGTTGTTGTACTGATAAGAAGCCTGAAAATATATCAGAGGTGGAAATATAGACAGGAGTATCACCAAAAGCTGCGTATAATAGAGAAGAAGAAAGAGAGCCCACATGGTTATGTCTTGATACAGGCTTGGCAATTTCTGGAAGGATGGAATTGATTGTGTTTCTATATGTAAAGTCTGACACTTTGTGACTTCAATCAAAAAGTGTGGTCTAATATGAGTGTGTGTACGCCGTGAAATTTCTAGGGAGGAGGGATTCACAGACTTTTCTTCGAAAGAGTGTAACTTTATTACTTAGGAGTCACGGTGGCAGTCAAAATGAGCGATTGGCGGTCAAAAAGATCTATTGGATTTGTTTTATACTCTAAAACGCAAAACAAGGGCTAGAGGCACCTGTGACTTTCCAAGTCACGCGATCTATAATATCTATATATATATATATACTTTTTGCAGAAAGTTACACGGTATACAAGCTTCAAATTTGTTCAACACAGAAACTACAGCCACATTTCCTTGAAAGTTGTAAGAAACTGCTAAATACATCCAAAATAAGAAAGAAATACTCAGAAAAACAAGAATCTGTGGCGTTTAGAAGGAGGAGGGGGGCATCTAATTAACAACGCCTTTGATAAACAAATGTTTAGTTGAGTCAAAAATTAGGGGCTCATCAAGGTTGGAGCATATCTTTAGTTTCAAAAAAAATTGTGATTATATTTACATATTGCCCAACAATAAAATTCTAGATTTGACATCATTATCTTGTGAGATATGGGCTAAATCCTTATTGATTGAACTAAGTGCAATAATTTTATTTTAACTACAATACTGTTCAAGTTACACTCAGATTATAGGGGTGTCAAATTTTTCAAGTTGTGATTTGTGAAAGCTCTTTGGTATTAACTTTTCAACTAGGAAAATTTTAGTGAAAAACTTTTTTAGCCAATTTAATTTTAATCAAAACCTCTAAAATTTTGAAATTTTATTGCACATGTGGGGGACAAAAACAAAATTAAAAAATTGATTGAAATAACTTTATCAACAAGTAACCATTTGTTAAATGATAAGTTTTATCACTGTTTTAAAAATTTCTCTTAATAGTTTGACAAGTAAATTTTAACAAAATAACATGTTCATATAAGCTTTTGATGTAATACCTCTAATAATTAAACACAGAATTAACCTTAACATAAGCTTCCATGATAATTTTAATTAATTAATTAATAATAAAAAATATCATGAAAAGAAAAGGATTGACCGATTTTTTTATCCTTTAACCCATTTTTTTATTTAACATGTCTTGCATATTTTATTAATTAAAGAGGAAACTATCATTTTTGGCAAACGCGCGCACACAAGCCCATTAAAATTGGATTGTATTAATAATTTGTGCGCGGATTAAATGATTGATAGAATATCTTTTTTAAGTCAAAATAGCAAAATTTATTTCGATAAGAAATATCACAAATAGACAGAGACAAAAAAAAGAGGGGGCTGGGGCCTGGGATTCCATTTATTTAAGAAGGATTCCCTTGCCTTCATGGCCTTTTGAGTTCATGAATATGAGGCCTCACTTCAAAACTTTGACTCCTCTTGGCCTCAGCAAGTGGCATTACTCTTCAGCATCCCCAGCCCTCTTCTTATTCCTCTCCCTTTCCATATGCCGAAAAAAATTTCTCACATTCTGAGCCATAACTAGCCACACCCCACATTCTTTAATGTCATAACCCCCCCTTGTACCCGGCTGCTCAAGAGTGAATTCAAAGGAAAGCTTTGTGTCAGTGAACAACTGTTGATTTCCTCTTCTTCTAATTCCCCGCATTACTTCTCTATACTTCTCAGTATCATTCCATATGACAACTAGATTGGATCCCATATCCGCATCAAATAGAAACGTGACTTTCTATGCACCTGAGAAACCATCCACGTAGCATGCCCATTTCAAATCAACGATACACACATGTCACTTTCAATGTCATCGTAAAAAGCAATGCAGAAGGAGAAATCCAGCAAGTCTGAAATTTAAGGGAGCTCAACATTTACAGTGCTTTTTGTTGCTCTGTATTTGAACCACTCTGGTACTTCACTTCCTGCGACACGTATCTCATAAGAGTTGCATGTGGTTCTTATTTTCAGGCAATGCATGATAAATTCCGGAATAGACAGCCCCCATTGATATTGTGACATGATTCTTTATTCAATCGCTTGCATTCCAAAAATGAGAACAGTATTTGGCCACCATTCAATGGTTCATAAGCTGCCAACGTCTCCAACAACTTGCAATAGCTTATTGTTATGGTTGTTATGGATGGTGGTAGTTTCGGTAAGTAAAAAACGCAGCCTATCGCAAGAATACAAGTATAGACTTTCCAATCTTTAAAAGATGTTTGGTGTTGTTAGGAAGTTCGGTTATGTTAGAACAAAACCCCATGAGCACATTCTCTCAAAGACAACATGCGATCAAATAAGATATATAGCTTCAAATCATCAATGACTCCCACAATAAGAAAGTCTAAGCTTCGTCAAACTTCTCAACCAAGATAATTGGCTGGAAGGTCCACAAGTGTTGAGCGTTGTATATCGACTATTGTTAATTCAAATTGACTCCTAAAATACTCGCAGTCAGAAGTAAACACCATGCTGTACTACATAGTTCCGATCGTGCGTTTTTTTTTTCTGATAACACTGAAAGTCCCATGAGATCTGAGCAGTTTGACACATCAATCCATTTTAGAGATTTCAAAGGAAACTCACTTTTAAACTCTTAAGTTTCTTGCACCCACTCAACCTCAACGAATGAAGCGAGGGGAGAGACCAAATTGATGAATGAACATCACACAAACTTTCACATCTAGCGAGTTTTAAATCTTTGAGATTCAAGCTTTTAGAGAGATCCGGTAACTCCTTTAATTGTTTGGATCCTGAGAGGTTTATCTCTTCTAATTCGAAAAATCCTATAACAATAGAGATAGATAATGCAAACGAGATTACCGTGAAGCTTCAAATAGATGTAAAACATTAAAAACAAATAAGATTAATTATACATACCTGCACCCCATCCCAATGCTTTTAAAGACGGCTATTTTGCATGGAAAGCGTAACAACTTTTTTGGCACAAAAAAGTGGATGGCAGAGATTTAAGTGGGAATCCATGCCACTCTAGATACCTTATTTTATTAGGAAGAAATTCGAGACCATCTGGAAGCTGCACATGACTTGAGTCGTAGTCAAAACGAGAATAAAATTTCAGAAATTGTATATACGCATCTTTTTGAAAATGTCAGCCTCTAAATGTAGGTCTCTAATTTGAGTAACATCCCATTATATTCCTTCAACTTTGTTTGTTTCCCTAAATACAAAAAACAAAAACTGTAGTAAGTAGATCGACTCATATTACGTCTATATTACTCATAAAATTATAAGGAAGACATAATAAAATTAAAAGCTAAAACAAGAAAGGATCTCTTACCACATTGTTAGCTAAGACATCACATATTACTCATAAAATTATAAGGAAGCAGCTATAAGGGTCATATCTATTTGATGAAGAAGCAAGAGGAGAGAAATGTGCGTGTTGTTGTACTGATGAGAAGCCTAAAAATATATTAGAGATGGAAATGTAGACAAGAGTATCACCATAAGCTGCGTATGTAGATGGAGAAGAAGAGAGAGGCCCACGCGGTTTATGTCTTAATACAGGCTTGGCAATTTCCTAGAAAAGATGGAATTGATTATGTTTCTGTACGTAAAGTCTGACACTTTGTGACTTAAGTCAAAAAGTGCGGTCTAAAATGAGTGTATGTATGCCATGAAATTTCCAGGAAGGAGGGATTCACAGCCTTTTCATCAAAAGAGTGTAACTTTATTACTTGGTAGTCCCTAGTAGCCATCAAAATGAACAATTGGTAGTCAAAAAGATATATAGGATATGTTTTGACTCTAAAACGCAAATTAAGAGTTAGAGACACTAATGAACTTTCAAATTACGCGGTACACTTTTTTTTTTTTTTTGCCAGAAAGTTATGAGGCATACAAGCTTCATTTTGTTCAACTCAAAAACAACAGCCACACTTCCTTGAAATTTAATCTGTAGCTTGAAAGTTGTAAAGAAACTACTAAATACGTCCAAAATAAGAAAGAAAATACTTAGAAAAACAAGAATCTATGACATTAATGAGGCGGCATCTAATTAACAACACTTTTGATAAACAAAAGTTGAGTTGAATTTTAGTAGTTCATCAGGATTAGAACGTGTCTCTAAAATCAAAAAACTTATAGAAATATCATTCACCAATAAAATCTTCATATTAGTAGCAAGATTTGATATCATAACCTTTTGAGTTATGAGTCAAATTCTTACTAACTAGACCAACATTTATTAGTACAATAACTTTATTTTAGTTACAATACTTTTCAAGTTACATTCACATTATGAGGGTGTTTTAATTTTTCAAGTTGTGATATGTGAAAGCTCTTGGGTATTGACTTTCAATCTAGAAAATTTCAATGAAAACTTTTTGACCCAACTTAATTTCAGTCAAAACTCTTAAAATTTTAAAATTTTATTGCATATGTGGGAGACTAAAATGAAATTAAAGAGTTGACTAAAATGACCTTATTATTATCCTTCATTTGTTTATATTTATAGTAGTATTATGTTATTAATGAGAGTTGTAAATTCTTAGTAGTGCTATGCATGAGAGTTGCAAATTTTGCCTACATCAATTATTCATTTTCCCTACATGAATTGTTCATATGCTTTATTCACCAAAGACAAAATGCTCATTTCAATATGTTCCTTAATTTCATTTCAATATCCCGCATGTGCAATAAAATTTTAGAATTTTGAGTTTTGACTGAAATTAAGTTAGGTCAACTAAAATTTTCCCAAACCTTTAAAAATTAGAAAAAGGGGTTTGAATTTAAATAAATTTTGTATTTTTTTTGTAAATTAACTTTGGAGTGAATGCATTTAGATGATATTAAGAGATTTTTCATCACTAGCTGGTTTTTCCCCCCAAATATTTAGTTAACTCATTAATAGAATTACATCTCAATCCCTTTTTTGA